GCAGTAGCTCTGAAAACATTACATTTTATTCAATTCGTATGAAGTAGATTATATGCTATATTGAAGTTGGCAAATTTAGGGATTTGTGGAGGTTTTACAATGGATGATTATGAAATACAAAGGGTCTATATATACTCTGTAAGGAAAAGAGCAGTATTGCTTGCTGAAGGCTTTGCCACAGATATTTTTTACATAAAAATAAAGTCTCTAGTCATACGTAATTTTTGATGCATAAAATGTTATTTTCTCTGTAAACATCACAATAATAGTTTATATCTCCTGTTTTGTATATAATTAAGAGCAGATGAAAGAGTGCATTTATAGTGTACAGATCACAAATATGCTAGGCAGGAGCACTTTTTTTTTGTTTTATTTTGAACTAATAGAAATACAGAAATAAAATATTTTAAATCAGAATTGATAGGACCCAGCAAGTAAAAATGTTAAATTTCCTATCAATGTTGACAAACATGAGGTACTCATAGATGATGTTTAACTCTCTCTAACGTGAGAGTGTTAGAAAACTAGTTAATTATTATATATATTTAATTAGCAAATAAGAAAAATCACTGAATAATGTCAAATTGACGAACATCCTTTACTAGGTTGGCAGATAATAATAATAATAATGTGAATATTTTGTCATAGATCTTTAAGCACATGCAGCTAACTCAGAAAGTTTCACAGTAACTTGAAAGTACCTTTGGATCTTAGAAATTTGGTGCTTATATACATAAACCAGAAATGTTTTAGTTTAATAATGTCTGCCCAAATGGCAGAATACTTTTCCCCTACTTTTAGATTAACAATGAGCATTTTATGTAAATTTACATTTCACTACCATTTACCTTGTCATGAGAACCTTTATGACTAGTTTGATACTTTGGATATTTAAAGTAGGGTTTTTTTGTTTTGGATTTTGTTTTTAATGCTGTAGGTTTATCGTAGGATGCAATTTCCACTTGTCATATATGTTTAGGAAATACAGCTCTATTAAGGAAATGGCAAAGCTAAGAAGAACCAATGAGTGTAACACCCTAGGGTGGATTTTTTACATTTACAATATAAAATCAAGTCACTGGCACAGTTGTTTTTCCCTGTACACTTATATATAAAGTCTAGTCATAATCGTTTACTTCTAAAACTGATAAAAACAAAGAATGTTGGCTCAAAAAAAAAACCTTTAAATAATAACCAGCATTTGTAGGGGAAAATCAAATCCACATCAAACTCCGTGAAAGACAAAAGGAACTTGCAGTGGTCTGTAACGGTTCGCAAATATTTTGGTAGTTACAATCATCCTCTTGCTTTTTCTTCTGTGGCACCTCTTTTTCTAACGGGACTGGAGCCGTTATCTTGCTAGCAGGTTACACCAGTGGTCTGGTTTTAGAAGCAAATTTGTAATTCGTTTAGTTTTGCCTGGCTTTTATGAATGAGCTCTGTAGGAAAATAGATTCTTTGTGGCATGCACATTTGACAAGTCATTTCTCACTTCTGAGATCGCTAGGTAGAATAGAGAGTGATTTGAGGAGTCAAGATGAATCACAGAGGAAGATTTTTTTCCACTCACCTTATCATCATACTGTGCATTTCTGCATCTATTTAAAAATTAACTTGTGACCCCTAGTAATAGTCCATTCTCAGTCACGCACATAGCTTGCCTTTAAGACTGTTGTTATAGCTTTTCACCACAGAAGTGATTTTGACTTGTTAAGAGTGGACAGGTTAAGAAACTCCCAGGAATATCAGGTTAGTTTCAACCTTTCAATACAGCCCAAATGGAGTAAATGTGTTTGGGACAGTATTTGCGACCATGCCTGCCTTGAGTACATTTCTTTTAAAATTAATTGTAAAGTATCAGACAACACATTACCTAGGATTTAATGGAGAGCTTTTCTGGGGTAAGTTAAAAAAGTTGTTTGAGAAATGCTGGAGAGATCACTATACTTTTATAGGTGTCATTTACATCCTCACAGTAACTTTGAACTACTTATGCAAATGACAACAAATAATGTTAATCTGTAGTGATTTCCTTGTGTGTTACGCTGAATTGTAAAAATTTTATTTCGTTTTCCTAACTTTGGATATAACTGGCAAGGCATGATTGTGTTAGGACGAAAGAGTAATTTTCTGGAAATTCTTGGCAATGCATTGATTTGTTCTTTAATGATATTAAATTATCACAAACTAGCCTTTAGGCTAGTTTAATTCAGATAATAAAAATAATGAAAAGTTATAAATATGATTCTGTGTTTCTATGTATATCTGTATGTATATGTAGAACATCTAAATATGTATAGAAATAGAAATTGTTCAGATTAAAAATGGAGAAATATTATGGTTTTTTTTTTTTGAGATGGAATCTCGCACTGTCACCCCGGCTGGAGTGCAATGCCCCAATCTTGGCTCACTGCAACCTCCACCTCCTGGGTTCAAGCGATTCTTCTGCCTCAGCCTCCTGAGTAGCTGGGATTACAGGCGCCTGCCACCATGTCCGGTAATTTTTTGTATTTTTAGTAGAGACAGGGTTTCACTATATTGGCGAGGCTGGTCTCGAACTCCTGACCTCATGATCCACCTGCCTCGGCCTCCCAAAGTGCTAGGATTACAGGCCACTGCACCCGGCCTATGGTTTTAAAAATATGCAAAATGTCAGACAACTAAATAATTTGTAATACATTTTTAATGCTATTATAATATAATGTAATACTGTAATATAATGTAAATGTAAATTACATTTCATACCAGCAGAATCCATATATAACAAAATAATGTACAAACTTAAGCTTTGAACTTTTTTCTATTAGAGTTATATTACCTACAAAATTATAGCTATTTTTTTCTTCCACGACTGGTACATTATGAATATAAACTACACTAAGATTTTATTAAAGCCTACAATTATTATATCTATTTAAAGTATTAAGAAACTGATAATACATATTTTTTGGTATTATTTTAAATATTCTCAGCAAAATTAAAGTGAAGAAGTAGAAATAAAACAAAATCTCAGTATTTTAAAAATGAGAATGATTAAGAATTATTTGATGTTAGTTTGAAAATTTGTAAGTAGTCAATAATTAATAATTAATAACAATTAATTAATAATCAATAATTCATAAGTTTGCCAATTTATAAAACCAAAAACTATTTTCAGCTTTTAATTAGGCTACAAGGAGATGTTCGATATTTCAGGTTTCTCTTAATATGAAAGATACATGAGATGAAATTAAATTGGCTAGTCTTTGAAAGGATTCTAAGTTTTTTCTGATTTTCAAATCTAATATTAGAAGTAAAATCACTTCTTATACAGTAACTTTTTACAGTATCCTTTGATAATTCTTAGACAATAGATATTACCCACTACTTTTTAGGTTATGGAAGATTAAATGGACCGTTTATTTAGTATCATAACTTTAGGGTGGAAGGCTAACTTAGAGGCCAGCGGTTTTTCTCCTTTTTCCCAACAATAACTTTAGCTGATTGCTTTAGCTTATTTTTTTTAAAGGCAGTATTTTTCAAAGGGGCCAGTAGGCGGAGTTTCATGATTAGTACAGGTGTTTTTTCCGCTGATTTGTTTTAAAGAATGTGTGGTTTTCTACCTTCTAATCTTTGTTTTTTGGTTTAACTTTTGCGAGGATCTTTCATGTGCATTGAATTTACGTTTTTGAAGTTTTCCAGAATATTACATTCTTTGTTTTTTTACATGGGTTTCTTTTTCTATAACCATACATAATTTTACTAAAAGGTTAATTAAGATTAGGATAATATAATTGTTGTTAGAAATTTAAATACAGGTTCAGCAGAATATTGTATTGTAAGGAAAAGATTACTACTTTTATTTTAATAACAGTTTTTTTAGAAAAGTTAACAGTTGGGCCATTATAAAACCACAATCATTTTCGCCTTTTAATTAGGTTACGGGGAGAGTTCCAATATTTTGAGGTTTCTCTTAATATGAAAGATACATGAGATGAAATTAAATTGGCTAGTCTTTGAAAGGATTCTAAGTTTTTTCTGATTTTCAAATCTAATATTTAGAAGTAAAATGGTAATTCATTCAAGTCAACAGTGGAGGTAAAAACATAACCCACTTTCCCTTGAATCAAAAGATGTTTACAGTAGCATGCTTGCTGCTACAGAGTCTTTTGTGGTTGCCACTCTAATTACATGTTTTTCACATCAAAGTCTTCAAAAGTAATACAGGTACAAATTGACTCAATAACTATTTATTGGGTAAAGGAATCCAAGAAGGTTTCTGTGTATGGAAAAAATGTATGTAAAATACAAGTGATATCTTTGTTAGAGATTTTCTACTTCAGCTGAATACAGAGCAGCCTGTCTCCCTATATTACTGGATCTTATCTTGAAATTATAGGCACCAAGCAAATGATGCTATAGGGAATGTGTAGCACTAACATTTTAATTAGAATACAAAATGATAATCTGCATTGGGGTAGAGTTAAGGATTTGATGAGTTCCAATTATATTAGTAATAACATTTTCATTTGATAACCAGATAACTGGGTAATTAAAAACACGTAATTAAAGCAAAGTCAAATCCTAATTTATAAAGGCAATGAAAACGAAAGAGCATAGTAAAACTCCATTAAAAAGTAGTCGCTGCACCATTATGAATGAGATACATTTTTATCAATATCTTATAAAGCAAATAGAGGTTGAATCCTGTCATATGTTTATGTGTTAAAATACCAGAAGACCATATGATAAAGTCCCAAATCATAAACACAATACAAAAATCCCCATGAGTTGTTTTTGCCAATCCAAAGCCATTGTGAATAGGCATAGGATGAAGCACAATGTTGGAAGATGACGAAGAATCACTGTACAAAGCTTCAAAGATTGAGGTCAGAATCTAGCTTAGTAACTCAGAAACAATTAATTGCAGAGTGCAGGTATATTATATTTTTGTTACCTGCATTGTTACTGCATTTCTCATCTGAAATAGGCAGATTCTAAATGATTCTGAAAGTAGGCAGAATCATTTAAATGTAGTCCAATTTGGAGCCCAGTATGAAGGGGGGTGGGGATGAAGGTCCCGTGGTTTTTGAGAGAGGAAAGGCCCAAATGTGCATTAACAATCATGAAGAAAGGGACTGGTTCAAGCAGGAGCCTTTATCCAAGAGTTCAAGGACAGATGGGAATTGAATTTTCTCTGGTGGACTTGATTGGCAAGGGTGAAGAAGGCTGCTCAGCTGAGAAAACAGCACGTGGCCTAATTATATCCACAACACAGGGATTTTTCAGTCCTCTCCTTAAAAACGAACTCTTCCTTGCATCTATGAAGCAACGTGAATCCTATCATTAACACTTCTTTCTTTGTTGCTGACAAAAATTAACTCCTAAACCCACCAACAGAGCTTGAAATGTCACAGTTCCCTTTAGAGGGACACAGACCTCTTCCTCCTCCTGGTAAAATCTTCTGCATGAATGAAGGTGGAGAGAGCCTTAGTGAGGTGACTATCTGATGTCTCGGTGCTACTCCCAAAGTCATAGTTTTTCAGGCAAGGGCACAAGCAGTGGACAATAGCCCGGCGGATGTAGCTGTCGAAGATATAGTAAATGAAAGGGTTGACACAGCTGTTGGCAAATGCCAAGGGTCCACTCACCTCCATACCAAGCTGAAGAATGGCTGAGGGAAAATAGCGTTCTTGCTGCAACCCAGAGACAATGGCCAGGAGCTTGAAAGTATTGAAGGGCAGCCAGGAGACAAGAAAGGCTGCCACGACGATAAAGATGATCTTTATAGATTTCTTCAGCTTTTTGTTGTGCTTTCCTGACTGCTGGTAATGGGCACACAGCTTCCTTGCAATGCAACAGTAGCAGGTCACAATGCTCAACAAAGGGACAAAAAAAGTGAAAATTAAGGCCACCAGGGACCATATGAGTTTAAGTGGAGTTGCCTTTTTCTCTGCACAGTATGGCTTATCATCAATCAGCGTGAGCTCCCTGGACAGAAGAGTAGGCAACCCCAGCAGGCAGGAGATAAACCAGATGCTGGCGCAAACTACATATGCACAGTCTGTCCTTCTGAATTTCCTGGATACGACTGGGCACACAATGGCCAGGTAGCGGTCAACACTCATGCAAGTGAGCAGGAAGACACTGCAGTGCATATTGACGGAGATCATGTAGGAGCTCCCTTTGCACAGGAAGGAGCCCGTCCTCCACAGTCCTAAAGATGCTTCTTTATCCACCCAGAGAGGCAACGTGACAAGGAAAATGAAGTCAGAGGCAGCCAGATTGATGATAAAGATGTCGATCAGTCTTCGGCTGCCGGGTTTGAAATGCAACGCTCCCATGAGAACAAGGTTCCCCAGCACTCCAGTCAGGAACACAGCTATGTAAAAGACTGGAAGGAAGACAGAGGTGTAAGGAACATGGGAGTGGGTCTCCCTGATGTCCGGGTTTGGGCTTGTAGCATAGTAATAATCCAAATAAACTGAAGTTTCTTCTGGGTCCATCACCAAAGAGCAGGTGCCAAATCTGGTGAGTTTCCTCACCTATGATGTTTTTGTGTAAATTTTAGAAACCTCAAGGGAGCTTCTTTTATACAGTACCTGCCTCTTTCTCTATTTTTTTCCCCTCCCTTTAAAGATCTTGGACAAACATGAAAGCCGAGATCAAAAAATGCAGTTTCTGCCAATCCTCAGAAAGGGCCCACAAGGAGCACCACTCTGATTGGTGTTGGTTGGTTGTGGTTGTGGTTTTTTTTTATTTGCATTTACTCGTGAAACTGAGATGCTTTTTGAGTTCTTTTTTCAAGATATTCAATTTATTTCTTTAAGGCCAGTAATTAAGAAGTGAATTAACTTGATTTTTTCACTTCCTTTAAAGACCTCCTTTGCTTTTGACACTGAAATTTATTTTGATCTAGCCTTCTGTTTCACATAGAAGATACTGTTCTACTTTTAGAATTGTAAGGCAATGATGATGTATTCTTTTTATTTACTTTGTTGGTGAAATAGGAAGAAAACTAGTCTTTCATTTGTGTAAAGAGTGAATGAAAATTTTCCCAAATCATACCAGTCTACAACTAGGTCAAACAACATGATTCCAATTAGGGAATGAGAATCTCCCCATCTATTTGGCTCTTTCATTTCACATGTAATCAATTCTGTTTCATAAGTTTTAAAAAATCCCCCAAAGACTGAGACCACATTTTGTGCTTTTATTATTATTATTTAAAAATTTCCACTACAACTAGCATAGCATCTTGCACATAGTTGGTGCTTTGGAGATGGTAGTTTATTAGGTTTGATTGAGAACATTCTTTTTGTTATCCAGCATAACTAGCAGAAATGAATTCACTGGGGTCTAACTTCAGGTATTGTTGTTATTTATGTAACTTACAAACACAGGTTTAAAAATCTCAAATTGCTATTTTTACCCTCCTATCTGCTATTGTAATTCAACCAGTGAAGTTCCCTTTTGTTAAGAGTTAACATCATTGATTTGGAGATTTTCTTCCTATTAACCCTCAAATATGCTTCATCAGACTCTGGATCCCCTCTGATCTTCTCTTCATTACACCACACCTTTGTAGCAGTGATTTTTTTTAGCTTCTGAGCCATGGCCTTCTGGTACCTCCACACACGAGTGAACATTACTTTTGGAATTGCTGATTACTGATCTGGCAACAGATAGACCTATAAGTGACATCATAATGGAGGTGCCAGCATGGACACTATAAAAGGGAAGATTTTTTGGTACATTTAAAACACTTGGGGAAAAGGCTAAAACAGAAAGAATTCTATCACATTTTCCTCTCATATGTTTCCTTTTATATTATGATGACCATAGTAAAATACAACACATTTTGAAACGGACTCCATTTATTTCAGCTCTTTACTGGCCAAAGTGACTCAAGGCTCTCTTGCACTCTCCTTTTCTCCTATCTGATTTAATCTTCAGAATTCTAGTTTCAGGTTGATACTGCTATTCATAGAAAAATGTATGTTTGTAGATGAAAATATAGTCATTAAACATTTGAAGTCCTTTCTTAAGTTGTTTTTTCATTTGTTTGTTTAATTTTTGAGGCAGGGTCTCACTAGGGTGTCACTTTGTCACCCAGGCTGGAGTTCAGTGTTTTGAACACAGCTCACTGCCAGGGCCATGCAATCCTCCCAGCTCAACCTCCTGAGTAGCTAAGACTACAGGCATGCACCACCATGCCGGACTAATTTTTGCATTTTTTGTAGAGATGGGTTTCACCATGTTGCCCATGCTGGTCAGGAACTCCTGAGCTCGAGCGATCTCCCCATCTTGGCTTCCCAAAATGCTGGGATTACAGGCATGGGTCACCAAGCCTGGCCCTGCTGAATTGTTATTTCTTCAGTAATTAGTATATTAAAAAGAATCATCCCGCTGGTTGTTCTTCCTCCTTCCCTCTTCCTCCTGATACGGTACAGTGTCACCTGCGTCTTAGGCAAGTAAGCTGAGGTCAGGGAAGGTTGAAGGCTCCTCTGACCTGGGACAGTCCCAGAAGTCACTCTGGAGTTGATTTGTGGGCCTGAGCCTCCCTTCTCCTGTGTCCCTGGCTGCTGTGCGCAATTCATTTAATTTCATGGAGGGCATATTCTTTACTAAATATAGACTACAGATCAGAGAAACTAATTAACCGCTTTGACATTTCTGGGACAGAAATCTTTCCCACTGGGTAAGCTTTAATTATTTAATAGAATCATTCATTTTGTCAAAAATTGGAGTAGGACAATATTTACTCGAAAAAGATTAATAGGGTAATATAGAATATTTAAACACATCATCTTTATCTGTGTGCCTGTGTGTTAAAGTACTAATCATGTATATTCTTTAGGTGTACTGAAATTTTAATATTAGAACGTTGTACCCTAGAACCATAAGTTCTTTTGGCATTTGAGAAAATAAGGTTGATTCTGGGTCTAAGGTTTTTCTACTTCTTTTTTTTTAATCCTTTGACATGTCTCAAGAATTCTACCTAAAGATATTATAAAATGGAAAAAGAGTTCATGCTCATACTGTAGAGGAAAATATTTGGCTGCACATTCATTCTGTATCCCTTACATTTTTTTTTCAAATTTCAAAAGTTGCTGGACTGCCGATGTAAACTATCTCAAATCCGATTTCCTCAGCAAACTATTGAAGCAGTTGTAGATAAAATCGTTTGCTTTATCATATATGGCCACTTTGAAGTATGATATTTAATGGTAGAATGCTACAGTGTGAGAATACCCACCGTCGATCAACAGTATCTTGGTACCCAAATCAGAAAACAAATTAAATGTTTTAAGCCAAAAACGGGCACATAGCATAGTGCCAGTCTTTTAGTACCTCAGAGTGCAATGCTAGTACAAGACAGAATCCACAATAAAGCTGGTTAAAGTGGGGTTGTAAATAAGCTGGTACAACGGTCAGTTTTAGGACTTTGAGTGTTCTTTCAAATAAACATGAAGATACTAACAATAAAATAGACACCTACACATAGACCAAAACTCAAAAGCAACACTGGGTTCCATAAACATATGAAAAGTCAGTGTAAACAGAGTGATGGCAAAAACAAAAAAAATAGAATAAGATGTAAGTATTAGTAACTGAATTAGAGCATATATGCCATTTCTCAGAAAATAACGCTCAACTTTCCTCCCTGACTCCTGGCAGAAATAACTGCTTCTTCCTTTGTATTTCCTAAGAACTTTAAAAATACTGGTTACAAAGTACCTGTCTCATTTCACACTGTTAGTTATCTTTGTATCTGACCCCGCAGCTGATAATGAGCAACCTGAAGGAAGAATCCATTAGTTATCTCTGGACTGGCCTCCAGCATACAGAAGTTACCCAACTAAAGTTCTTTTTGGACTCTTAAAAAAGCCATTGTTTTGAATTTGTGAATGTCAGATAGTATTACCCAGATTAGAGTCATCAGGGACACGTGCTAAGCTGTAGATTGCCAAACCCTATTCTAGATGTCTTCAGTCAGAATTACTGGGAAAACACCGCATGTTCTCACTCATAGGTGGGAACTGAACAATGAGATCACTTGGACTCAGGAAGGGGAACATCACACACCGGGGCCTATCATGGGGAGGGGGGAGGGGGGAGGGACTGCATTGGGAGTTATACCTGATGTAAATGACGAGTTGATGGGTGCAGCACAGCAACATGGCACAAGTATACATATGTAACAAACCTGCACGTTATGCACATGTACCCTACAACTTAAAGTATAATAATAATAAATAAATTTAAAAAAAATAAAAAAAAATAAAAAAAAAAAAGAAGTCTAGGACTTTGTATTTAAAAAGCATTCAAGGTGATTCTCATACACACTAAAGTTTAGAATCACTGTTCTAATTCACGTAAGTTAACCAACATTATATATTATGTTTTGTTATTATTTTGACTAACTTTTTAAAAAGACTTAAAAGTTACCTCAAAATTTGAAATTTGTGGAAGTCTTTCAGTCTGAATATCACAAAATTTGAGGAATCAATTTAGATTTCTAGGCCCTACTTATTCCATGTTCCAATTCCTGAGTTAGGCTCAGAACTGGTTCAGGTGTTGAAGATGAAGACAAAGAAAGGTTTTCTCTACTGAAACGTCTGCTCAAGTGGATCCATTATTATTTGCTGCGGCTTGCAGCCTCTGCTTCACCAGCAGGCTGAAGATTTAATAATAGAGCCACCCCAATTAGGCTTATTGAACTTATGATTCTATTACTTCGGCCTCTTCCCTGTCAACCACCGTATCAGGTGGAGACTCATCAGATTACATGCGTATAGCACAGAAGAAAGAAATCCCTGGATACAAAGCCTTTGACTCACACATGCTCTGCTGATATGTCCCAGAATAAATGGCAAAGAACGTGAAGCAACTAATTATTTCTCATTAATCTTATCAAACAGTGTCATTATATATTCACTTGTTAGGTACATTATCTTGTTCATTTCTTACAAGTACCATAAAGTGCAAAGTCAAAATGGTTAAGAAAACTGATAATACTGTTTATACTCTAGGAGTTTATTTTTATTTTTAAATTCTCAGTTACTTGGAGAATTTAGTGCTATATAATTTAATATCACATCATGCCAAATTAAGGGGCATGTATTCACTATTAGGAGGGCGCCCACTTAATTTACTGGGTTATTTCCCTTGGTAACTAACACTTATATAGATAGAAATGATGTTACTATTCTAGGAATATATACTTTAGGTTTCTTCATAATAGTAGATTTAATCTGAATTTAGGTTGTGCATAACAAAAATTGTGTTTATTTATGTTGGTGTCCTTGGCATCCACCAGAGTGTCTGGCAAGCAATAGATGGTCAATAAATGATTGTAGATCTGGGATGAATCATGCTTGAATTCTGAGTTATTTCCGAAGAGTAGGGACTTTTCACAAACTTCTTAGACAACTTCCATTTTCTATTTGATCCTGGGATTGTCACATCATAAACTAATATGAAGAGATGTTTCTAAGTTAATGCAGCATATTTTTTGTCAACTTATGCTAATGTTTTCACTTAGCACACCTTGTTGAATCAGAGGCAACTTGCAAACCAATAAATGTGAAAAATATCACTACCATGGACTCATAATAAGTATGATGGATAGTGATGAGAAGAGGACTCCCTCAATGAAGACTCAAGTTTATTAATAATTAAATTAATTTATTACATTAGTTTCTTATCTGCAATAAAGAGTTTTTTGAAAAGATATTTTTGGGAGGTCCACAATTCATACTCATAACTCTATACTAATAAATGTCAATTAGAAGAAATCACAAAAGTTTCCTTCCATAATTTTACCTTCATAATTACTGTTAATGTTTGAAATAGCAAGGGCTTTTTATTGGTATCTTTTCTAATCAGAATGCACATAGTCTTCCTCCTTTTCCTTGGCAAACTACAATTGCCACTATCTCTGCTTCTAGTACATTGCCTAGGCTTGAGGGATAGGGTATATAAATTCTGCAATGAAACTCTAATGCTGTGGATCTATGAAACACTATATTTTGTAGTTGCATTATTCTTCTTCCAGTAGAATTATAAACTGTAAAATTTTAGAGTGTAAAATTGTAAAGTGATATTAATGATCATTAGTACGACTGTTTTACTAATGAGGACCCTGGGGTCCATAAAGGGGTCATTAACCAAAGATCCATTGATAATTTTTAAATAAAGGATAATTTAAACTTAAACTCCTCATTTGCATATGGCTCATTCGCTGTCTTTCAGGAGCATGGGCATCTAAAAATTATAGTTTTTTTTTTAATATATGTGGCACTTTACTGGAACTGCTAAAAAAAAAAAGAAGGAGACATTTTAGATGCATTTTTCTATTTGCCTTGATCTTGATTCTGTTCTACAGTGAATGGGTGCAAGGAAATTCAAAGATAGGTACATTTTTAAAAATGGTTTTTGATTGGAACCCAGAATTGTACATATTCCCATTTTCTTCCTTTCTGAAGTTCATAAAGAAAACAACCAGGAAAAAAATTACATGAAAAAACATAATGTAAATATATCTTATAATGTAGATATAACTTTTAATTCCTAAAAATGTGCAATTAAAAATAAAATAATATGAAATGTATTGGGGAATTTGGTATTGATGGAAATTCTAGTGTGAAGGGTTGTTTCATAAGTACACAGTAAAAACAAGTTACAACATCTGAGTATCTAGATTTTCAGTTATCGGTTTTATTTTAAATGCACTATAACTATAATGCCTTCCTGTTGAAACTAGAACCATCTTTAACAAGTTAAGCTAGATGCCTCATTTAACTTTGCTTTTAAACCTAAATTCCATAATCTCCACATGGTTGCACAAAATCATCTTTCATATTTGTGAAAATATGAGGCTAGCTACCGTTTCTCAAACAGCAGAGTAAGAAGCAGAAGTAGAAATTTAGCTCCATTAATTAATTAAGGATTTATTTTACCTACTCATACAACAAACAAGCATAAATAGAAATTAGGAAACACCAAAGATGCAGCGATAAACCAGAAATACGGTTGTGTGGTTGGTGAAACTGGGTGTGAAGAGGCCGTTCAGGTCCTCTCTCAGGGTGATCGAAACCACAAACACGTAGACACCTCCAGGTTTACACTAGGTTGGTCAGTGAAATGCATCCTGAGTGTTTTCTAGGCATTCTGAAGACTTGAAGGGTGCAAATATCATCCTCCTTTGCAGGTCTTCCCAGAAACATCCACCTCCTGAGTCATGACGACTTGTGTATGATACGAACCCAGGCCTGGGAATCTACTGAACAGGGCTAAACAAGGATGCCCAAAATACTAGCCCTGGCAAATCTTTCCTAGTCATTTGGTGGTCAGTCCAGAGCTTCTCAAACCTGCTGAAGCGAGCAGAAACACCTATCTCTATAAATGGCTTATCTCCATTTAGGGGTAGCCTCTAGGGTTAATCTAGGAGCTTTAAAAGCTGTTTGTCTTTTTCGTCCTTTTTTCCCGGTCGCTGCTCGATGAATGGGTGCAGGGAGCAGGTCCACGCCTGCTCCCTGCGTGCCTTTTCGCCATGCCTCCGAAAATTGAGGAAATCAAGGACTTTCTGCTCACAGCCCGACAAAGGATGCCAAATCTGTCAAGATCAAGAAAAATAAGGACAATGTGAAGTTTAAAGTTCGATGCGGCAGATATCTTTATACCCTGGTCACCAGTGACAAAGAGAAGGCAGAGAAAGTGAAGCAGTCCCTGTCTCCTACTTTGGCACTGAAGGAGCTGAAATGAACCAGCCACACTGACTGGAACTGTATTAGAATACAAAAACAAAAACAAAACAAAACAAAAAAAACCAAAAAAAAAAAAAAAAAAGCTGTTTTCACTAAGCTTACTCAAATATTGTAGACGTTCAACGAATATTTGCAAACACTAATAATTTAATGATTCTTTCCTAAGCCTCAGGTCCTGTGCTGGGCATTGTATATGTATTTTCTCAATCTTCTCAATCATCATGTGGGATAGATGCTACTGTCAACATCCATATTTTCGAGAAAAGACAACCGAGACTTAAAGAAGGTTAATTCTCCAAAGTCACAAAACGAGTATATTCAAGTGTGCTACCATGGCAGTCAGTTACTCTAATATCCAAGTTTGCTACCAAGTCAGTTACTCTCTCTAGTTCCTTTATCTGTAGACTGAAGTTGTTTCTTCTTTACTCTCCTTTAAACTTCTCTTTTGCCTGGTTTACTGACCACAAGATCTCAGTGGAGAGGTAAATCCGAAAGTAGGGGATTTCTCTTTTTTTTTTTTTTTTGAGACGGAGTCTTGCTCTGTCGCCCAGGCTGAAGTGCAGTGGCGCGATCTCGGCTCACTGCAAGCTCCGCCTCCCAGGTTCAAGCGATTCTCCTGCCTCAGCCTCCCAAATAGCTGGGACTGCAGGCGCCCACCACCATGCCCGGCTAATTTTTTTGTACTGTTAGTAGATACGGGTTTTCACAGTGTTTGCCAGGATGGTCTCCATCTCCTGACCTCGTGATCTGCCAGCCTCGGCCTCCCAAAGGGCTGAGATTACAGGCGTGAGCCACCACGCCCGGCGGAAAGTAGGGGATTTCTAATGAAGGCTAACGGATGAAGACATTTCCTGGAGTATAAAGGCATTTATGCGTCTTACTACACACTGACAATTTGCCTGTGCCCCTCCGCCACTGACAAATTTTTTTTGATTGTATGCTGTATGTAAAAATCCAGAGTCATGTTAGAATATATTTGGCTACTAGCTTATTATGTACTGCATATGAATATCGGTTCACTCAGGTGAAAGAAATGTAACTACAGATAGAGAAACATATCATGCCTTTAATCTGTCAAAGTGGTAGAAATTTAGTATCAACTTGAAGCTCCCATCTTTCTCCTGTGCTAAATTACAAGGCATTAGGGGACAGAGTGGAGGTTTGAGAGCCCCTCTGGTCCTTGAGTCAGTTTTCTCTGTAGGTTACCGTTGAGAAATCCACCATTTGCTGGTCCCAGGCCACGTTAATAGTACCACTCATTTTACTGTTAAGATGTCCCTGCTTCCTGTCCATGAATTTCTGTGTTAAACCTGAGGGCTCAGAAACGTTGCTTCCTGTGTGCCACACATCATCTGCAATCTCCAATGCTGTCCTTGACCTTATCTACTTGAGTGATGTTCCCCAAATTTCAGTCTTTTTCCTACTATACCCACAATTTTTTATTCATTTTTTGACATATCTGGTATTCTCAGTATTATTAACTTAATATTTTTAAAATTAAATGAAAAAAATTAAAAGGAACAACATTACTGCAATAGAAAACTAGTATCACTTGTCATAAAAAATAGGCAGCTACAAACACACATTTTATGAAACCCAAATAATGTCATTACATTCTTGATGGATACTGTCTGCCAGGTCACATACTTCTTAGCCTAAACTTATGCAATAAAACGAGAAGGACTCTGCTCCAATGGGAGGGATTCTGGGAGAGGGAAATAAAATGGGTCAACGTTTCACAAGTAGAATCCCATTTTTGTTCATTTATACTTAAATCTAGAGGCAGGGTGGTGTGATAGGGAAAGTACAGGCCTAAAAGTCAGACCTAAGTTATACAGGTCACGGTCATTGACTAGAGGTGACCGGAAACAGGTCCGCTTTACTTTCTGGACCATTGTTCCTTCCTCCCTAAAATGCAAGAATCCAACAGCCTAGACTTCCCTTCTGCGCACCGGCTTGCCCTGAGGAGCTGAACTACATCTCCCACAATGCGCCGCGCGCGGCGCCAGGATGCCTATCGCCGCCTCAGACAGCTTTCAGTCTGTCCCTCCTACAACTCCCACAAGGCCCCTCGGTCCCGGGCCGCGGCCCGGCCCGGAGTGGGGGCGGAGGCGGAGGCGCGGGAGTTATGGAGGGGGCGGGCTCTGCAGGGAAGTGCGTCAGAGGAGGCGCGGGGAGAGTAGGGTGCTGTGGTCTGAGCTAGAGGGTGAAGCTGGCGGAGCAGGAGGATGGGCGGTGAGTGAGCGGGACCTGCGTCGCTGGGCGGGGGTCGCGTCGCGGTTCGATGTTCCCGGCGGTTTGAAGAGGGGCCCCCTTCCCGGGCGTGGTCGGGACTGGGCGGGTTCCGAGCGGCGGGTTTGTCCCTGGGCCGAGCCCTCTAGGGCGGGGCCTGGTCGGGTACTGGGGGACTCTGGATGGGGGCCGCACACGACTGCCCCGTCCCAGCCCTGGCCTTCTCCGGCCCCGCTGTGAGGCCCTGGAGGTGACCGCTCCAGGCGTCCGGCTTCGATGAACCGCCGTTCCCATGCTGGGACCCGTTAAGGTCATTTGAGAGCACCAGGATGAAGGGGGGATTTTTAAAAAATCAAAATGCAAATCCAACTTTTTGAGTTATCGTTGTCATTGCCCTTACCTTTCCTGAGTCACTTCCAATTTTCCAAACTCAGCAACCCCAGTTTGCGAGTCTGTTTTCGTGCACCTTTGTAAGGTGTTTGGTGCGGTCACGGTGTATACTTGCCGTGTAGTATTTGGCTCAGCGCGATCCGCCTTGAGTCATTTTACCGCGGCCATTTACTACTGCCGTTGAGCCCTGTCCACGCCTTGGGAGTGTTGATATTTTGAGAGTTTTCTGTCTGGCTGAGGAGGGATCATTTAGTTTTTGCGGACATATGTTGCACTTAGGGTTTAGGGAGAGAGCAAGGTTTCAGTTGAGGAGGTTCAGAAGTATAAGGAATAGGGAGAGTAGATAGGAGTGAAGCATTTGGCAGCGTAAAGAAGCGTGGCTTAGCTTTAATGGATTAGGGAGAGATTGCTATCTAGCATTATTATATGTTATTGTTCTCTTTGCTATTTTATACACCTAGAACAACCTTTCCCTCGGGGTTAACAAACATCTTCAACTCTGTTTTCCGTATGGCTCCTGACTCTTACCTTTGTTTTAGGAGGCTTCCCTCTTCAGAGGAAACTGGGAGAAGCCAATTTCCACTGCTTTTTCCTGTGTCTTTTTAACACTCAAACCCAGAACACTTTATCCTCTGCAGCTCGTGCAAAAATTCAGTCTGTGATTTAAAATGTGTGCACGGTAACACTGCTGACCATGGGCATGTCTATTGTTTGTATCTGTAATGTGTATGTCCATTTCAGTGTTGTCTGTTTTAGTATGCAGGTGATAGACTAGAGAACAAGACCTCTGTCTCCGTAGCATCCTGGGTATGTGAGCATTCAATAAGTACTTTTATGAGAATGAGTTTTGTTTTAAGCTTAATTAAAAACATGCTTGCTTTCTAAAAAAAAATTCTTAATGGTTATATGTACGAAGGGATGGGGAATTGGGTAAAGGGTGCATTTGGAATAATTCAAAATAGTCTTTCTTATTTGTCCTTTAAGACTAACTTTCTTCTTTCTTCAACTTTTAAACAGAGCAGTCTGAATGCCAGAATGGATAACCGTTTTGCTACAGCATTTGTAATTGCTTGTGTGCTTAGCCTCATTTCCACCATCTACATGGCAGCCTCCATTGGCACAGACTTCTGGTATGAATATCGAAGTCCAGTTCAAGAAAATTCCAGTGATTTGAATAAAAGCATCTGGGATGAATTCATTAGTGATGAGGCAGATGAAAAGACTTACAATGATGCACTTTTTCGATACAATGGCACAGTGGGATTGTGGAGACGGTGTATCACCATACCCAAAAACATGCATTGGTATAGCCCACCAGAAAGGACAGGTATTTCTATTATTTTCACTTCTCTCTTCTTTACCTGGTTAATAATAGACAAAATGACCTAGTGATTGCCCAGTTACATGTAAGCAGGTTTATTGGTTCTCTCTCTCCTTAAAGAAATAAATCATGTGTATCTTTTCTTTCTACTGCCTTCTCTCCCCAACCTCTTTGCATTACCATGGTACTCATCAATATTGGTTGGATGAGGAACTTTTCTTATCTTGGGAAAGCCATTAAATTTTTTTTTATTTACTCACACATTAAAACACTTTTTATTAATCTAACACATCATAAAGAAATAGTTGGAAAAGTACATCGAAAGACTTTAAAAATATTTGGTAACTAGTAAAAGGACTACCATCGAAAATCAACTCAACAAATTGTCCTTTTATGGGTTAGCTGTATTATAATACATATCTATCATTTACTCCTATGTCTTAGGGGATATAATTTGACCAGCTTTACATTTAAATCTGTGTAAGTATGAGACTGTTTTACAGCAATCTTGATGCAGAGTTTGTAGGTTACGAAATTTGTATTACAGAAGTAAAAAAAAAAAACAAAAACTAAACTAAGTTTTTCAGGTTTATTTTGCAGGCATTCTTATTTAACACTTAAAGTTTTTAATTTCCACTTATTAAAATGGTAGCCTTAGAACTCTTTGTAAGGAACAACGTTAATGACTACTTCTGTTGGCCACTTAGTGGGGAAGCATTGTATTCAAATCATAGCAGAACAGGCTTGTGTTACCATATATCAAAAGGATGATAATATGTCACTGTATCTGGAAAAAAAAGGAGGTAATTTGGAAGGAAAGGAGAGAAAGTTGGTTAAAATTCATTGTAAAATGTTCAGTTTGACTTGTGAGGTTACAGGAGCACTTGATATTGGAGTGTTACCATTTAGTCATTCATTAAACAAATAATTTATTGCATGCCTCCATGTTCCAGGGCCTCTTAGCTGGGAGAACATCAGGAAAGAGAACAGAGTCCTTACTCCTGGGGAGCTAGCATTCTAATAAAGGATGACAGGCAATGAACAGAATGTAACAGTATAAACAGAATAAACAATTATTTAGTATGTTAAAAAATGACACGTGCTGTGGCAAAATAGAACACAAAAGTGATTTGGAAATATGTGGGAAAAGGAATATTGGTGGCCATAGGTTATGATTTTCAATAGGATACTTAAGGTAGGTCTCACTGAGAAGACACCACTTGAGTAAAGAATGTAGGTAAAGACTAGATGAAAGATTTGGCCATATGGGTAAATGGGGAAGAAGTCATTTAGGTTGGAAAGGACATCTACTGCAAAGGCCCTATGGCAGGAGCATGCCTGAAATATTCAAGGACCAGTAAGGAAGGCACTGGGCTGGAATGGAGGGAGAGATGGGAAGTTGGGTGTATGCTGTCAAAGACCTACTGTGGGAGTGGGACTGGGGCAAATCCTGGAGGACTCTAGGCATAATGAGAACTTCGGTGTTGACTCCAAGTACAATGCTGAACCATGATCTGGTCACCGTGGCTGAGAACAGAGGCAGCAGACAAAGGTGGAAGCTAGCAGACGCCGGTTAGGAGGCTATAGAAGTAATTCAGGTTAGGTGATGGTTATGACTCACACCAGAATGGTAGCACTGAGCAGCAGCTGGATTCTGGACATAGTTTGAAGGAAGAATTCCTGGGATTTCCTGATGGAGTGTAAATGTACAAGAATTTCTCTAAAGTTTCTGGTCTGAAGAACTGGAAGGGTGGAGTTGGCATTCCCTGAGGTGGGGATATGGTTGGTAAAGCAGGGTTGGATGAGAAGATCAACATTCCTATTTATTTCTGTCTTTGTTCCCTCCCCTTCTTCCTAGGCTTTCCACATAGCTATTCTGCCATTCATTTTACTGCTTCTACTTTATTTTTCTTCCTTGTGTCTATGTCTTCACTTGCCACTGAGAACCAGTGGCATCCATTGGACATCTATGAAACCTGTGTGTCAGTCAGGGCCAGAGGAGTTGCTGACCCCTCTGGAAACGTCCTTTACTTTTTACTTCAGAGAATAATTACTGAAAGAGATTTTTGTTAAATGTTTATAATTAAAACAACAGGCAATTGTTCTTGTTCCAGAGTCATTTGATGTGGTCACAAAATGTGTGAGTTTCACACTAACTGAGCAGTTCATGGAGAAATTTGTTGATCCCGGAAACCACAATAGCGGGATTGATCTACTTAGGACCTGTGAGTACTTTGATTTCACCAGGACAGTTGGGGGAACAAAGATAATTTTATTTGTCTCTTTTTGGACTATGTTTTTGGAATAAGATGAGTTAGTAGATTGTGCCAACTTGAAATGAGATCTCTAACAGTATCCAATGAACTCTATTCTGTTGATATTTTAGAAGGTAGATACTTGCTTACCAAATTTCAAATGATTTGAAGGTGACAGGGGCAACTACTTCATTGGATGATGAGATCTAGACCTTCAAAAGATATTATTAGTGGGCCCATTTAATAAGAGGAAATTTAGTTGGGATAACTTATAAATTCCTCTACTTGAATTAAACACTTCCCACTGCTTGCGTTCAGATAGGTATATGTGAAAAAAGTTGACTGCAAGCTCTAAATGAGTCAGTGAGTTGTCAGGCCTGCCAGAAGTGTTTATCCAGTCTTAGGTGATAGTAACTAAAGGGTAGATGTCAAAAAATATGAAAGTATTTATTAGGAACAGCCTATTCCTTGATGATCAGGCGGCCCATGAAATACTGTCGTCAGATTTGAGCCTCAGTTTTCAGGGCTACAGGGACTTGCCCAGAAGAATGACCATGTTGTAAGAGAAAAGAGTGAATAAGGTGTAGGTATTCAGTTTTATAAAGAGAATATGTAGCAAGCAGTTTATTACTAGGAAAGTTTGAAGAAAGTAAGTTCGAAAAACACTTAAGTTCCAGAAAGCAAAACCAGCACCAAAAGGTAAACTTTGGTGAAGATTGATATGAATACATTTCTAATAATGAATATTGTCTGAAAATGGAATGGCATGTTTTGTAAGGTCATCAGGTTTTCTTCCCATGTTGATGAGGGATTTATGATAATTAAAACTACCTTTAGATTCTCTGCTTTGTGCTTTATGTATATTCTTTCAACAGCCCTATAAGACAGGTCGTTTGTAATTACCATTAATTTACCTGTTATTACTGCCTTTAGAACCTGTAAAGACCTAGATATTGTTGGTAGGTAGAGTCAGACTGATATTTGTATCACATCCTGGCTCTACCACTTACTGTGTTATTTTTACAAGTTATTTATGACTCTTGCCTCAGTTTCCTTAATTGCAAAATGGAATTAATAATCATACAGCTGTAGCTATGGGGGATTGGATTCAGGATCCCTTGCTAATTCCAAGGTTGCTAAAGTACCTTATATAAAATGGCATTGTATTAGCATATAACCTACACAATCCTCCTGTATACTTTAAATCATCTTTAGATTGCTTATAATACCGAACACAATATCAATGCTATGTAAATAGTTGTTATACTATATATTTGTAAATTTGTATCATTATTTATTTTCTGAATATTTTTAACCCTTGGTTAGTTGAATCTGTGGATGCAAAACCTGCAGATATGGAGGGCTGACTGTACCTACTTTCTAGGGTTGTTGGGAGGATTAATACAGAAAATGTGTAGACAAACCTAGCATGGAACATAGTGAACCCTCAGTAATTGCTACCTCTTAGTGTCCTTTTACTTTTATCAGGACAAGGTTAGCATCCTTTTGAATATTGTGCTTTAGAAAAGAGGCCTCAATGTTAAAATACTTTCTCACTTTTTGAGAAAAGATCTAATTAGAATATGAAAGAAATTGCCATTGTGGGGAAAATGGTCTGAAATCATGGTAACATTTCTGTTCTTTCTTTTTAAAAATCAGATCTTTGGCGTTGCCAGTTCCTTTTACCTTTTGTGAGTTTAGGTTTGATGTGCTTTGGGGCTTTGATCGGACTTTGTGCTTGCATTTGCCGAAGCTTATATCCTACCATTGCCACGGGCATTCTCCATCTCCTTGCAGGTAGGTTTTGTCATCATAGTTACCTTTTAGCTTCTTCCTGTCTCTTTAGGGACCAAAGAATTATAAATCTTAAATGTTCATGTATTAACTGCCATGTCTCATTGCCTGAAAAGCCCTTTACTGTGCTTTTACCCAGCCATGTTTTGTTTTGTTTTCTGAATTTTCCCCCAAGGTCTGTGTACACTGGGCTCAGTAAGTTGTTATGTTGCTGGAATTGAACTACTGCACCAGAAACTGGAGCTCCCTGACAGTGTATCCGGTGAATTTGGATGGTCCTTCTGCCTGGCTTGTGTCTCAGCTCCCTTGCAGTTCATGGCCTCTGCGCTCTTCATCTGGGCTGCTCACACCAACCGGAAGGAGTACACCTTAATGAAGGCCTATCGGGTGGCGTGAGCAAGAAACTGCCTGCTTTACCATTGCCATTTGTATTTTTTTAAAATAATACTGACATTTCCCCCACCTCTCAATTGTTTTTAATTTGTATTTTATTTGTGGATATACCATTTTATTATGAAAATCTATTTTATTTATGCACATTCACCACTAAAGACACACTTAATACCACTAAAATGTATGTGGTTTACTTTAAGTGACGCCGTCTTTCAAATAAACTAATCTAGGCGTAGACAGAAAGAACTGGATAAAGACTTGACACAAATGTATGAAAGAAAATTGGCAGTAGGAATGTGACCCCAAACAAGTTGTGCTAATGTCTGTTAGACTTTTCAGTAAAACTAAAGTAACTGTATCTGTTCCACTAAAAACTCTGTATTAGTTTCTTGGGGAAACCTCTCATCTTTGTCAAAACTTTATGTTCACTTTGCTGTTGTAGATAGCCAGTCAGCCAGCAGTGTTAGTGCTGTTTTCAAAGATTTAAGCTCTGTAAAATTGGGAAATTATCTAAGATCGTTTTCCCTAAGCATTGATGCGTAGCTTCATCCGAGGTGAGATATGGCAGCTGTTTGTATCTGCACTGTGTCTGTCTACAAAAAGTGAAAAATACAGTGTTTACTTGAAATTTTAACTTTGTAACTGCAAGAATTCCAATTCAGCTGGGCGAGGATTAATCTTACTATTATTATTTTTAACTCTCCATAGGATTTTCAGTACTACCAAATTGTTTTGGATTTTTTAATTTCCTCTTCACATACCAGGGTTATGAAAAGCGTGCTTTCTTTTTAACATTACATTACAATTACAAAGTAAAATTCCCAACTGCTATTTATTTGTTCCAGCCCAGTACCATAAAGAACGTTTCACCGTAATGACCCCTCCAGAGCTGGGAAACCTACCACAAGATCTAAAGTTTTGGCTGTCGATTAACCTCCAACTATGGTCTTTATTTCTTGTGGTAATATGATGTGCCTTTCCTTGCCTAAATCCCTTCCTGGTGTGTATCAACATTATTTAAATGTCTTCTAATTCAGTCATTTTTTTTTATAAGTATGTCTGTAAACATTGAACTTTTAAAAAATCTTATTTATTTATTCCACTACTGTAGCAATTGACAGATTAAAAAAAAGTAACTTCATAATTTCTTACCATAACCTCAATGTCTTTTTTAAAAAATAAAATTGAAAATGAAAAGAGACTCAAAGAATTGTATGTAGAGTCTGAATTGATTTAAATCTCAACACTTTAGGATAAAGAAGTAGAGGGAATCTCCAGTTGACTGTGGAAAGTGCATCTTGCTGTACAGGGCTGTCATGTCCTGTGTTTGGGTCTCTTGTTTTATCTTCTGGAAAATGTGGGAACCCCTTCCCCCTGTTAGAAATAAGAAAATCTTTATCTTTTATTTTTCAGAATTTTAAACTATGTTCTCAAAAGTAGTTTTGTTATCTCTACATGTCATACTTAATGTGGCTAGTTTTCTGTGAAGTCATTTAGTGGTTGTGGATGTTTGTGTTCTATAGTAAATAACCAAGTCAGCTTCTGACTTAGAACAAAGCCAGCATTACTCAGTAGCCAATTATTGCCTGTAAAATGGCTGGTTACTCAGGTTTCTATCTAATCTTAATTCTTGAAGATTCATTACCCTTCAGTCCCTTCTGTGGAAGGTGGAAAAGGGAAAAGCTAAGTGAACAAACAAAACACCTTCGGGAATGGGATAAGAAAATTTTTGGCAGCGTGACATTTTTGTGTTGGTCAGTTATTTTAAACTATGTCCCTGCCTCTTACCTCCCCAGAGTTACCTGGGAAGCTAGCACCGTAACACCTGGTGCTGCATATGTGTTATAGTTGGTATTTTTAGCATGTTGCAGGGTAGCTGAGGTTATCTTTCTCCTGCAAAGACTTTTTTCTTTGGAATATATAGGGCTGCATTGTTTCATTTAATGTGAAACTGATTCTAATCAGGTTGTACTGTATGAAACTGCTCATATTCAAGCATTTTTGATCAACCTAATAGATAAAATCTGGCAAAGCAGATCCTATTAAATTTAATCTTTCAAAGCAACTCTGAAGTAAAAAATTAATTTTCAGATTTTTCAGAACGAAAGTTTTTTTTTTTGAGACGGAGTTTCGGCTGTTGTTGCCCAGACTGGAGTGCAGTGGTGTGATCTCAGCTCACCACAACCTCTGCCTCCCGGGTTCAAGTGATTCTCCTGCCTCAGCCTCCCGAGTAGCTGGGATTACAGGCATACACCACCATGCCCAGCTAATTTTGTATTTTTAGTAGAGATGGGGTTTCTCCATGTTGGTCAGGCTGGCCTTGAACTCCCGACCTCAGGTGATCCGCCCACCTTGGCATCCCAAAGTGCTGGGATTACAGGCATGAGCCACCGCGTCCAGCCTCAGCATGAATTTTGTGGCAATTTAAGAAATGTGTTTTAAGACCTTAATTCTAAAGCTCCTAACTAAATGATGTGGGTAAATATCCTCTGATTTTTAGCATAAGACTCGTTTCAAAATTTATTAAGTGTAGCCATAAAACACTAGAATTTGGTACAACAACAAAAAGGAACTCCAGAAGAATTTATTTGTTCAGATAACACTAAGTGTGCCTTCTGTCTGCATCGTATTACACTAGGATTTCAAATTCATAATGTAATGGGAATGTGTTAAAATTTTATCTGCTGTAGTAGTGTAATGTGCATTAAGGATAGGGTTGACAATTACTCCTACGTGAACTCATTTAGTCATATGATTTGAGAAGAATGAGATGACCACAAATCATGTCAGTTTAGTTTGTTTTTCCATTCCAGAAACATCACCAAATTGCAGACTAGCACAGTTAAAACCTATAGACTGTGTCATGTTCAATTGACTGTAACATACATAGATCAGGTCATTTTAATGTAAAGTTTCACCAAAAATGAAAACGTGTTAACCTAATTTTGCTGATTGCAAAACTTTCTTTTTTGTGATATGGAGTCTCACTCTGTCCCCCAGGTTGGAGGGCAGTGGCCCAATCTTGGCTCACTGCAACCTCCACCTCCCAGGTTCAAGGGATTCTCCTGCCTCAGTCTGTGGAGTAGCTGGGATTACAGGTGTGCGCCACTACGCCCCGCTAGCTTTTGTATTTTTAGTAGAGATGGGGTTTCACCATGTTGGCCAGACTGGCCTCAAACTCCTAACTTCAAGTGGCTCACCCACCTTGGCCTCCCAAAGTGCTGGAATTACAAGCGTGAGCCACTGCACGCGGCCTGATTACAAAACTTTCTCGAATTCTCTAGCAGCTAAAAGAGCAGTTAATGGGTGCAGCTCTGAAGATGCAGATTGTTATTTCACAGGCTTCGTGCAGCTGTGTCCTGGCATAGATGGGTGGAGGCTTTTGTCCTCCCTTCAGCACTCTTCCCAAAGGGAATAATGATTCATACCTTGAAAAGCGAGGAATAAACAAGGAAACGAATCTAAATTATTTTTCTATTGCTCATCAGGTGTTCTTATACTCCATCGTAATAAGATAGGCTTTTCCCTTGGGCCAAATTATATGCCATCATCCTGCCAATTCATAATGTGAAAATGCTCAATTGTAAAAAGAATAACAGAATTATTATTTGCCCTATAGAAGAAGTTACCATATAGTCATTACATTCTCTTCAGTGCCAGAATTTCTATTACTAGCATTACATGTATACAAGTATACGTTATTTGACATATAAACATTTACATACTTTCAGCAAACTTTTATAAAAGCAAGATCCAATTTATATTTGTATATTTGCAAAGGTTTAGAGATGTGAAATGAGATTTTTTTTTTTCTGCTGTACACCTTTTAATATAGCTGAGTTACTAAGTAATGTGTCATCTTTACTGGTCCAGTGTTAGTGTCTCAGTATGTGAGCTTTACCTCACCTGTCCTGCAGCCTGTCAGCCCCTCCCAGCCTTTTGTTCGTTTTTTTCCGCCCTTAGCTTGTATCGTCATTGTATGCTCACAAGCATCTTTGGTTCTCTTGCTCCCCACAATTTCCCATGACACCTTCCTTCACAATCCTTAGCCCTATCTTCATAGACTGTACTGTCCAGTTTTCTTAATCTTCAGATATCAAGGATGGCTGTTCAGAACTACCAAGTTGATTCTATAAAAAATTATGCTGTATGACTTCAACTGCTTTATAATTCTAAGCATCTCTAATTATTGATCTTTTAACACCCTGCCACACATTTCCCAGGTCTCTACAAATGTTAGTTTTTGGAAACCTTTATTCTTCCTGCTTAACTTCCATGGAAGGAGTTTATGCTTGCTTTTAGAAGGGAATACTGGAGTCAACTCTTGTAGTATCTCTAAGCCTTATTTGCTTCTCTATATAAAAGGAGAATGTATTATCTGGTTGGAGAGATTGCTGGAATCAGGGCATCCACAGGAGCAGCATGGCATATGGTGGTTAAGTATTTAGCTTGGGAGACAGAATACGAACTTTGTAATCCCAGGTCTGTCTCTTGTCTCTCAGCCTTTTTCCAAGCACCGCTTTTCCCATCTGTGAAATGCTGTGATTATCATGTGTCTCTTAGGGTTGTGATGAGGATTATGCAAATTGCTTAGTATAGTCACTCAAAAACTGCTAGTTATGACTGGCTGCATTATGAGGGGCTGGGGTTGCCAAGCCTATAAAGTGGTGGCTCTTAGCCTAGGCTGCATATTGGAATTTCCTGGAGAACTTAAATGTTTTCGTTCCAGAGAATCTGATTTAGTGGGCCTGGGCTATGGTCAAGTCATTGCAATTTTTAAAACCTTTCCAAGTGATTCCAGTGGGCAGTTATATTTGAAAGCTATGTTTAAAAGCAAGAAATAGGATTCTCTCTCTCCTAGGCAGATTATGAAAGAGATAGTGGGCTGTGGAGTAAACAGACCTGGCTCGGTGTCTGCCTTCTAGAAGCTGTTTCTCTACTGTGCTTTCTACACTCTTCTGTTGACTGGCTCTTTGTGACAGGTCCCAATCCATCACACCACTGATGGTTGGAGATGTGTATGAAGAGTCTTCCCCGCAGATCCAGTGCACCTCTGGTTCTCAGGTTCAGATTTGGTGGGATGTAATAGGAAGCCTTGTTTGTTTTGGCTTCAAGTTCAAATTATTTTCTCTAATCAGGTACTTTCAGGGACCCTGTAATTTGAGGTCATTAGGCCTCTATAAAGAAAGTGAATATTCTGATCCCTGTCTGCTTCATTGTGTTCATACTCTTGGTTAGAACTAGGAAGGAAAGAGGCATGCATGAGTGATTGATGTTAACTTCTACCCAAGCTAGAAATTCTGAGGATGAACATGTAATAGTATTGTCTATAAAATGGGATATTATCTGCCTCAATAGGTTTTTGTGATGGTTAAATAAGAAGGCATACGTGTAAGTGGTTAGAATAGCTCTGGAAACATAAGAGCTCAAAAAGTGTTTGGTACTATTATTTGGAGATTAATGCAGTGCACGGGAAGGAGGCAGCCTTTGCTTGGCCTGTGTGGTCCAGCTCTAGGGCATGCAGGACTCTGATCTGTTGTGGTTTACCACAAGGCTACACTCCAATGGGGATTAGAACTGGGGCTTGTGTTACATTATTGGAGAAGTCTTCTGTTTCCAGTAAAGTTTTGTTCCAAAACAGAAAGAGCCTCATTACATGGGCTTTTTAGCCATACAAGCCTCTCAAGGTGGAAGAAGTTTTACTTTTAAAACTCACATTTTAATCTTTTTTTTTCAAGTAGGATGGCAGTGGGGTGGAACTTTTGGCCTTTCAATGATTGTGCTATTGGTAAATCAAGATAAATGCATCAAAAACCTTTCTATTAGTCCATTTGTGATTCTATAACAGAACACATGAGACTGGGTAATTTATAAATAATAGAAATTTATTTTTTATGATTCAGGAGGCTGGAAAGTCCAAGGTGCCAGCAGATTTGGCAATTCTGATTCCAAGACAACACTTTGCATGCTTCATGCTTCAGAGGGGAGGAAAACTGTTCCTCACATGGGAGAAGAGTAGAAGGGCAAAGAGGGTGAGAGAGGGCCAAACTGTACCAATTCCATCCATGAGGGTAGAGCCCTCATGGCCTCATCACCTCTCAAAGGTCCCACCTCCTAATAGTGTTACAATGGCAATTGAATTTTGACATGTGTTTTGGAAGGGGCAAACTTTCAAACCATAGCACTGTCTTTGTGTTTAAAATTGAA